TTTTTAATTTTATTTTAATTAACTACCATAAAAAAAAATTTACATTACTCAAAAAAATTGTTCATTAATTAACTATTAAAAAAATTGCTATTTTCTTGAAGACATAGAGTTAATGTTTTAAAAATTGGATTAAGCATTAAATTGGTTGGAATAATGGATTGGAAATTAAATTTTTGAATCACTAATTGAATTATATGACTTAATTTTTATTAATTTTAATATATATATTATACATATTTCATACCTATAAATTTCAATTAAATTTATATTATATAATAAAAACCTTAAAAATACTCAACTTATTTTATATATAATATAATTAAATTATAATTTTAAATTAAAATATATTAAAAAGATAACTTAAGTGAATTATATATTAATTCAACAAGTTGGCTTGGTGGTTGCTTGGCTTTCAAAAAATGATAATTGTAATAAAATATAATTTAACTACAGTATATATATTATATTTGTCAAACATGAATTAAAAATATCATGAAAGTTTCCGCCATTTTTTTTTAATTTTCTATATTTTTTTGGCTTCCCTCCTTTATGTAATTGAATGGTTGGTGTTTATTTGTTGTTTTGGTTGTTGTTGATATGAATCATCACCACAAGCTTACCACTATATCTAATAAAACAACTATTCATGACAACATCAGAACCACCGTTGTAGTCGTTGGTTATTAGCTCCACAAAAACCGCAACACTAAACTCCAAAAATCAGACATCATCTTCATTCTTCAAGGGAATAGACATTATTATAAAAGAGTAAATTAGTAAATTACATTAAAAAAATTGTCGGTCATTCAAATTTAAATGATATATCTTTTGATTAAAAATCATTTGGAACCACTTAATTCTACACTTTATTTTTCTACTTCATCTATGTACCATTGAAAAAGTTGCTTCAAATTTCACATTATGTAAAACATGATGTGGATCTTTCACTTTGGAGAATATTAGTACAAAAGTTCGACCAAAGGAAACTTCAATCGTGAATGTGCCTATTAGATGTATACCTAGGCATAACAATGCCCAATGTTTCCAAAACTAACTATTCATTCAGTCAAAGAAGCATATAGTATAATCTCCTGTTAATTGGTAAAAGAAATCAGCAATCACATATATCTTGTCCCATTTTCCATTTGCTCCAATTGTAGGGGATACTCATCTAGCCTTGATACAATGGAAGATTGGTTTCCTAGTTGGGAAGAACATTGATTTTCTCCCATCATATGAAAAAATGCATGAGGAGCCCAACCTACAGATTTGGAAGAAAATAAAAGTTAAGAAAACATAGGTTGATGCCCAATTTAGATTAGCTTCTAGTTTGTACGAAGTTTTCAATTGTAAAGCCTTGTTTTTAAAACTTTTTTTAAAAGCAAAAATGTCAAATTCTAAAAAATCTTCCTATGTATTTACAGAAAAGATATATAAAGAAGTTGAAAGTTGAGGTATATAAATTGATTTTTAAAGTTTGTGAGAGGTTTAGTTTAAGTATAATTGTACTATTTTATCTCTCATATTTTATGTTTTTACAAATTTTGTCACTTATTTTTAAAGTATTGCATATTTTTTCACTTTATTAGTTGATTGTTTGATTTTGTTAATTGATTGTTGACATGATATATTAATTATGGATATGACATGTCAATATGGTATATTATGTTATGTCATCATTTATGTCACATCATAATTCATGTCGATTATTAATATAACACATCAACAATTTATGGTTTACATTCTAATTCACTTAAATGTATTATCATTGATTCATGTGACTCAATCAAAAAGGTCTCAAGAATCAAAATAATTTGTATCTCATTCATTTTTCCTATAACTTCTTCAAAAGTCTTTGTGTTGCACTTTTTTCAAAATGCATGATAATTATTAAATATGTTAAGACCTTTTATCCCATTTAGGCAATTATCAAACATATCTCATGCTTTAAAGTCTTATTTTTGTAAAAAATAGGTAATTTAAGTTAAGTTCTATTTGGTTGAAAAGAGTTGTTAAGTCATATGTATTTTTGATAGTTTTATTTGTTAGTTTTGAGATATAGAGTGGAGGAAGCTAAATTACAAAGAAGAAATGGTAAAAGGAGCTAAAAATTGGGATTTGGGAGCATTCCCTTGGAGTGAGAGGGAAGCTAGCTCTGAGCTATTCCATGCTCACTCAAGCTAGCCACCTAGGTGCTTTGAACAAACCAACTTAAAAAACATCCTTGGAATAAAAGGAAGAGCTTGCTCAAGCGAGTCACTTAGACGTTCTGAGTGAGTCAACTTAGAAGACAACGGTAGAGAATAGGGATGGCAAAAATACCCGCACCCGCGGGTATTTGTGGGTAAAATCCGCTACGGATAATAAATGGATAGGCTAATTAGGTACCCGCGAATAATAGGGACGGATAATTTTTTACCCGTTTATAAATGGGGCGGGGGCGGGTATGATGATATCCATACCCGCGGGTACCCGTTTAATAATATTTCTTAAATATCCTAATTATTCTTGTACAACATAACCCTAAAAGTACACTCTCTCGTCTTAGTTTCTTACAAAAGTGAGGTTGAGGAAGTTACCAACATGTGTTAAGCATGTTATAGAATTATGTTGGATATAATTTGATTAATTTTCTAGCTTTGATTGGAGCAATAAAATTTATGTATTTTAAGTTGTTTACTTTCGTTTGGAATTATGAGATTGAATTATTGTAGCTTTGTGATGAGACTTTAACTTGTAAGATTGATGTATTTTAAATCATTGATTATCTTACATTTTTATTATTATTTCAACAAAATTAACGTTAAATACAAGTTCAAAATTAACATTAAATTTTTATTTTTAATATTTCAATGACATTAAATATAGACTTAAAATTATTTGTAATATAATTTTTTTAATTTTTTAAAAAATTTATAAATATCCATGGATATCCATGAATATCCGTGGATATTCAAGAAATTCATGAATACCCGCTCAACGGATGCCCGCGCGGATATGGGGTGGATATGGAGACAATTTTCATCTACTGGGGCGGGGGCAGATTTACTATTACCCGCCCCCATGGGACCCCATTGCCATCCCTAGTGGAGAATCATGTTGGGTCACTCAAGTAAGTCATATGTGTGCTCCAAGCGGGCTAACATAGCAAATCCAACATAGACATTTAGACATTTCATCAAGCTTGCTTAGACAAGCAAACCTTGTTGTTCTTAGTGAATTTGCACATATCAAAAGCCATTCAAAACATTATAAAACTAGGGCTCGAAAAAAATAGAAGACAATTCATTTTTCAGATTACTCATGGAGGTTAGAGAGAGTGACAGTGATATTTTATAATCACAGATCCTTTAATTATTTTCGTCCATACTTGTGAGCAAATTCCTTAACCATGAGTAGTTAATTCTCCGTTGTTAGACATTGATATTGCTATTGAAACCCATGTAATTCCCTACGTTCTCGTTCAATAAAGGTTTTTTCCATTGATAATATTACTAGTCAATTTTTAAGTCTTTTACCTTAATACGAGTTGCATAATAAACTTTATCAAGGAATTCAAATTTTTATTGAAGAACTCAATCTCTTACCTAAGGAATTAGAGTTAAATAAATTCAAAGACGGTTGAATTAATTGTTTAATTACTAAAATTAAATGAGAATTAGGGAAGATTTACGGGAGAAAGGTTAATAAAATCAATATTTGTCGGTTCTTATTAATTAATTTCAAATTTTAAATTGTTACCTGTTCTAAACTCTTAATTATTTTATATATTTTTATGCAATTCTTTAAACAAACTATTTCTCTAAATTATCATAATTGGTACTAAAATTAGATACTCTTTTTACTATTTATGATAACTGATGCACTTGTCAAAAAGTCTAACAATATACTTAAAAAACAAAATGCACGTGAAGGCCAAATTTGAAATTCAAAGATGAAATAATAAAGGACAAGAATTCTCACCATGTTGAAGAGTAGGAAAGGGAAAGATCGGAAG